ATGGTCAATCCTGATAATTTGCAATAAAATATCACTACAATATTTCATTGAGATATGTGGGGGTGGTTTATTTACCGATATGAAATCCATCAAATTTGATGACTAAATTTCTTTTTTTATTATCCGAGATGAGAATATATCTATATTAGTACATTTCAATTATCAACTCCAACCTACTTTGGGTTGATCCGAAAGATTAGAAAGTTCCAATGTGACTCCTCTTAAATTCAATTCGAGACTAGGTTATACAAAAAAATTTATCAACTCCACGGTAGTGCTCCCTTTCCGCTGTCTCTATCTCTCAATATCGTGCTCCTCGTTTATTTTCTCCAATATAATAACTTTAGTTCTCCATCATTAGTTAGAATAGGGCTAAGGAATAGTTTCCATAGTAATAATGGAAATGAGAATGAGTGAAATTGCAATTAGCCAAATTTATTGCGTGCTTTTTTTTTATTTTTTGAGCGATCCTTTTTTCTTGGCAGGTACATGTTACATCCAAATGTGTACATTCACCATCATAATTAAATTTTCATTTGAAAACTTTAGCAAGAGTTCCGAAAATTCTAGAATTTAGACAACCTTGTTCTTCTACATTCATAAAAATGATTTCGGAAACAGTTTCTTCAGAAATTGTTTTGTAGATTATCTCAAATCATTTTTATCGGAATTACTAATTTCATTAAATAATATTGAAATAGCAACTACAAAATGTGGCAGTAAATAGTTTTTTTTTAAATATTTAGAGCCCTTTTTTTAATGAAATGATAGAAATTTAGAGAATCTTTTAAATTCAAGGTTCACAATAAAGAAAAGGGTAATTGCACAAAACTCTCATAGCTTTAGGCATGTTTGCACATAACTATTCTAACTTTTTCTATCTCATATTACCCTTCTGAACTTTAGAGCTCCATGTAATTTGTAGGGGGAGAAGAGTATGGTGCATGTAAATGGCAAATGATTAAATTTGGAGCTTTTATCTCAAGGAGATTCTAGTTATTTGCCATGTATAGGTTGAGGTTTCTGCTGAGTAAATGTCTAAAATTTAATTGAGTTTTATGAGACACCCCAAAATTCAAGGTTGTTAAGTGAGATTAAAAAGTTCTAGGGGGTTAAGGGCAAAAACCTCCCAATGTCTTGGTGAGTTTTGTGAAATTAACCATAAACGAAAAAAATAAAACAATTGAAGCAATGGTCTAACTGAAGAAGAGCAAGGGCATTGCGATAATCATTTTGATATTGGGGAGGATAACAAAATATAACAAAGTCAAGTGGGTATTGCTAAAAGTTATACTTGTGATGTATTAACTGTAAACACATGTAAAAATAACAGTTTTTAAAAACAATAACAATATCACCACTCGAACAACAATCTTTCTTCCAATAAGAATGAATTTTGAAAAGTGACTACATAAAATATTATTTAAATTGTCTCCAAAAAGCTATTTAAAACCTTTAAGGCAAGAATACAGATGATTCACTTCAAGTGATCCCTTTTCTCTTTGGATTCCAGAAGACATTTCCTGTTTGCACCTATTAAGGAAATTAAGTTGATAAAACATAAGCTCAAGTTAGGATATCATAATAGGCTATAAAGACAACAACTACGATATCTCTTACCTAGAGATGGCCTATTCTCCTTTTATAAGAAGAAGGACAAATTTTCAAAACCAACTCATTTGATGTTTTAATTGCAAAAAACGACCCGTTTCTAACTTATTTAGAAAAACCGACCTGGTTTCAGCACTGTCGCTGAAACCAGGTCGGTTTTTCTAAAAAAACTTTACGAAGCTTCACGGGAGTTCAAAGCGACAGAGACCCCCCTCACCTCAGTTCTCTCTCCCCGCAACCGCCCCAAACCCTAACCTATCTCCGCCGCCGTCCACCTCGTTTCCGACCCCAGCCCCCCAAATCCGACCGCCGGCCCTTGATTCCGACCGCCAGCACTCCTTTCCGACCGCCGGCCCTTGATTCCGACCGCCGGAACAGCCAACTTCGCCGGATTTCGACAATTTGAGGGTAAATT